GTTTGCTTGGTTTTTTTTTTTTTAAATATGCTTATGTGTATTGGGGGTTTTCTGGATGGATGCATACTTCATGTTATTTAAAAGGTTTGATCATAGTTTATACAGTCCACTGGAGTTGGGAGGCCAATAAATAATAATAATAATAATAATAATAATAATAAATAATAATAATAATAATAATAATAATAATAATAGAACAAGGTTTCCCAAACTGTGAGGTGTATCTCCTTTGGGGAGACCAGACAGAGTCCAGGGGAGGTATGAAGAATCTTTTACTTATATTGTTACAGTAAATCCACCTTTCCCAAAGTTTCAGTGTATTGTTTTCATTGTTCATTTGTGTTCATTTTGGTGTTTGGATTTTTAGGAGAGGTATGTACATCAAGATTACACTAAAGGAAGGTGTGATGGCAAAACATTTAGGAACTCCTAATCTAGAACATAGATTTGATTTTCCTCCCACTCCATTCATTGGTGAGCTCTGAAGATGAGTAGCCTGTGATACGGATTTTCTTCTATTTTTCAGTCTTCCGGCTGGATAACAGAGTGTTTCATGCTGAGAGTTAGAGAACATATAGTCTGCCAATCATAAACTGACTGGCAGTGGTTTTTCAGGGTCTTGGATGTTAATATCATTCTCTCCAATTGCCATTTTTATTTCAAGTATTTAATTCCCACTAAAATCTCAAAGCAGTGCATAGTAGCATTCAGAACACTCTACAGAAGGTTAAAAGAAATTGATTGAATACATATAGTAAAATGTTACCGGAAGTCTGCAAGATAAAATAAACAAGAAGATAAACAATAAAAGAGAATAAAAGCAGCAGAAAGGAAGCTAAAAATAATATTCAGATTATAAATTAACCTTTTCTTTAAAAGCCTGGGATAATGAAAAAGCCTGGAGCCAAAAGAAACTAATAAGGAGAAATCAGGCACACCTCCCTGGGAGGGTCATTCTAAAATCAAGGAGCTATTACTAAAAAGGCTCATTCCTGGTACCTATCCATTGTACTTCAGCATGGGAGCAGGCCCTCTAAAGAAGTTTATATGGTATAGATAGAAACATGCAGGAAGAAGTTTTTCTGTCAGCCTTGTAAGGCACACCAGACTAAGAAACCAATGCCATATAGGTCTAAAAGTACTTTTATTGGAACAGCTATAATAACAGAACCTTGCAAGTCTGAATGTGCTTCACCTCTCACTCATTTTATCTTCATGTGAACTAGGGAAGGGCTTATCTGAGACATTTTCTCAAATTAGATCCTTGGGATGGACTCAAACCCTGCTCTTGATCACTGCCTTGATAGTCCTCTTCCTCCTGTCCTTTAATGAATTGGGACTGAAAGATACACGGGAGGTTTTTTTAACCAGAGATACTAGTATGTGTTTGGTCATTCAACTCGGCTTCCTTTCTTTACAAGCTCTGCTTTGCCTAGCTTCTCACATTCATACTTCTTTTACAATCTCACGAGATCTCTTCAACATATTATTTGATAGTCTGAGTGAAAATGTGGTATACTATTAATGGACTGATTGGGATAACTTGTCTCTCAGTTGTATATTGCCAGCACCCAAGATGACTTAAAATTAATTTAATGATATATATCCCTTATCATTGCTTTTTAAAAAAGTATTGCTGAAAATTTACTTGAAAGAATGACACAATTGAAATCATGTACAGTATGCCTCAGGAGGAAAACAGCTTTCATCTGACTGCCTGTGATAAAGTTGAGTAATTTCACAACCGCCATATCATTACTTAGGACAGATGTACACTATCTGGGTCCCCTGCACTGTGTTTGCCCTTTGAAGGCCTTGGGCGTAAACTCCAGAACCCCTCCTGTAATTACCAACAAATCATAATTTTGTTATATATGTGTGTACATGCGGGGGGGGGGGGGGCAGGAATAAGTTAATAAGCAACAATCCCATCAACTGTGTTTAATGCAATGCATATTTTATTAGTTTTAAATTGCATTCAATATCATTGCTATCTTGACTTGCCAGTTTTTTAGGAGTGCATCCCCAACATGCCAATCAAAGGCCATGTGTGGCTCTCAGCCTGAAAAAATCAGTGCATCCCTGGCCTAAGCACAACCCAGGGTTACTGTAGTGCTACTGGTTGTATTTTTTTCCAATATTCCTCTCTCTTGTTTTCAGCATTCCTATGTACCAGCTCCCCACCCCATGGCTCCTCCCAGCCCCAGCACTAACAGTAGCAACAACAATAGCAACAACAGCAGCGGCGAACAGTTGAGTAAAACCAACCTGTACATCCGAGGCCTTCCTCCCGGCACCACTGACCAGGACCTGATCAAGCTGTGCCAGCCGTAAGTAAAATTACTTGCTCTGCCTTCCCCCTGGAAATTGCCTGTGCAAGGACAGATGGTCCGCAACAACTTTGAGCCTTGCGTGGGCAGTTTTATTTATATGCAGATGAAGTAGTTAAGTGCGTGGCATGACTGTCAGTGGCTAATGACTGATAAAAAGTAACTTGCATCTTGGTCTTGAGGGTGGTAGAAACTTCCTGATAACCTGTGCTGGGTAAAAAGCATACTGGATCTGCAGATTCTTTGGGGATCTGGAAAATGTCCACTTGATGCTGGGTGAGGTATCTTTGTTGTCTTTTTATCATCGTGAGAACAGATAGAAAGACAACAAACAAGTATCCCAGCATGACTATTGCAGGAGTAACTTTTTGGGAGCGATCTGACACCTCTCTCCCTTGAAAGTCTTAACCCTTCCAAGTTAGCATACTGTATCAAAATCAAATTTCTGGACAAGTGCTGCCTTGAATCTTCTTATTTGGAATAAATTGAGGAGGTAGAATATATTATTATTATTTTTTTGCACATGCCTCTTGGCCCTCAATGTTCTAATAACAGTATTCCTGTCATCAAGGGTTGGTAATTTTTAGGGGATTTATGAGAAATGCAGTTTCAGTCAAACTGCCCAGGACAGATGGGTTTCATTTGGGTTTGGCATTCCTCTCCCACTCTTTCTTCTCAGTCACATCAGAATTTCCCAAACGAGGATAGCATTAAGTGTTAAATCCCACTTTATCAGATGATGGGGAATAGTATTTGCTATGGGAAATCTGTAATACATAAAGGAGAGATACATGACTCTAAACATGCACTGGACATATATCAAGCATTTATATGCCCAGCCAATCCTTACTGTGGGTCCTTGGATTTGGGAAGTTGTTAATCTCCGTTTATTGGTGTCTTTGCAGGTTTGGTATTAAATAGCCTCTCAGATAGGTAAATTATATACGGTATCTAGAAGCAATTGCTATAAAAAAGAAGGCATATACTTTACAAAATCTTTTATTCTTTTGTTTTAGTTCTATTTATAATAAAAATGCTACCAATTCTGTGGAGGACCATTGTCACCACGTTGCAGTTATAACCCAGCACTTTTTTGTCTCCTCACACCCACTTTTTCTGTCAACAGTCTACAGTTGTTCCTTGCCTCAGGCTCTGAGATGTGTTTCCATAATTCCCTTTTGATTAGAACTACCTTTATACATCCCTTCTGTTGCCTAGGATCTGTTCCCTGAAATTCTTGATTTTAGAATCTAATTTTTGTTTTGTTTTCTTCCTTTAGGCTTCCTTGGCCTTCAGTTCAAGCCCACAAATAGAGAGCCATTTTGGTCTAGTGGTAGGCTAGAAAGCAGGAGACTGAGAGTTCTAGTTCCACCCTAGGCATGAAAGCCGTCTGGGTGACTTTGGACCACTCACTCTCTCTCAGCCCAACTCACCTCACAGGGTTGTTGTTGTGGGGAAAATAGGAGGAGGAAGGTATGTTCGTCGCCTTGAGTTATTTATAAAAGTAAGAAAGGCAGGATAAAAAAAAATCTAAAAAAATAACATATTTATGGGGATATAATAATCTGTGTTATGGAGGAAGATGGCATCATTCTTTTATTCTGTTTTCTGTTCCTTTTTAATACTGTTACTTGATTGCAATTGGCAGTTTTTAGGGAAGCATAACCAGTAGCCCTGTTCATTTCCTTGCACTCCCTTGCTTTCTCCATATTGGAGCAGGGTGGTCTGAAGAGGAGAGTTTGCACTACGTCTCCCTGTTGTAGACTTTTCCTGTCCAGTATATGGAAAGTGGTAGAGTTAAGTGGCAAAATGGGACATAGAAGATAAGAACAGCAATCCCAGCCCTGTTTAGAGGTTTGTAAATGCATGCAGAAACATTTTTCTTCTGTGATTTTAATCCATTTTAACCAGGCTTAGATTAAATATCAGAAATGTACAGTATGCTATACTAGAAAATATGCTATGTTTTAAAATCTATGTCACATCACTGTAGTACTGGCTGTGTCATCATGCAGAGGGTCAGGAAAAACTTTATTTACTCTTTCAAGCATGCCAATAGCCATGTTTGTAAAATATATATTTGTATTAATACATATACTAGGGCAATTTGCATATATGCTAACCAGAAAATATTTTGAGCTCTTTCTTGGAATCTATGTTGATAGCAGTGTGTTGGCACAGAATTGTATAAACTTTCATCAAGGTTTATTTTCATCCTGCCCTTGGAGAATACTGGCCCATATTCTTTTGTAGAGGCAGTCTGGCTGCAAGGATACTGATGAATGCCTGTTTATTGGGAGGCGATTCTTTGGGTGGCATCTGGATCAGCCAGATCCCTCAGCAAGATCACCTCAAGTATGGAACCCATGGCCTTCCTCTTTCCTTTGTCATCTGCATTTAGAACAATCCTATATCGAAAGGTAGATATGGAATTGTTGGTAAAAATACATTGTGTGAAGAAGTAATTATGTGTGCGTGACTGCATGGTTGTACTTAGCATGCATTGAGCACACTGGCTTTGATCAGGCCCACTTTTCTGTTTCTTCATCTATGTACTGTACACACCTGAATGTGATTCTCTTATTTTACAATATGTAGCTTGTCTTGTTTGTTTTAATGATGCAAAAATAAGCCTGGCCCTCAGGCTCCTTACCACAGGCTCATATGCCATCCTTACATATCTGCATATGTGTCCTCTGTTTGGCATTAATTCTGGACTAAACTTACATCAGTTTAAAAGTTTAGCCCAGGGTGTGTGGAAGTACAAGGGTGAACCATCCCTCTCCCTCACCCCCCTTTTGTTTCCCATTCTGGGGCAAAATCGTGTCAACAATTCAATATGCCAGCAGCTGTCATTTTGTTGTTCTCAAATTAAAAAAAATTCTGGAGGAAAAATTTGGTTACCATCTGATTGGAGCAATTGGGTAGGTGAATAGTGATTGGGGAGCATTTCAGCCTTGCCTTGCTTCTTGACATACAGTAGAATGTGTTCACAGACATTTTTGGAAGTAGGTATGAGAAACTGATCTGTGGAGGAATATGCTATAACATCCCCCCCCCCCCCGCCAACCTATGCCCTCCAGATATGTTGGGAGCACAACTTCCCAACTCCTAGACAGCACTAACTTGGGCAAGGCTCTGAATGAATTTAAACTTGATGTTGTTCTGCTTAGTCTTGCAGATTTATGATACAACTCAAGAGGATGCTTTCAGAGCCTTTTCTTGTGATTACTTGTGATAATCACAGAGAATTTGACTGGAGACTATGTGGTCTAATCTGCAACAAATGTAAAAATGCAGTTACTTTTACTAGCAGAAACTTTCACATTTGCAATTCTAAGATTACATGAGTTTGCCTATAATTAGAACATTAGTATGTAGCAAGATATGGTTTCTTACGGCATTTTTTGTTGGGTAACTTGTGGCTCGTGAAGTACCCATGAACTTCCTGGTCACTAGTGACTTCTTGTTGCAACTTTAAAATACCTGTTTCCTGATTTTCTGTGATCAGGGTTAAGCTTCCTTAGCATCTTATTTAAGCTCATGTAAATTAACCTAAATAGCTATTGGAAAATATTTCTAAAAAGAATTGCCCAGTGTTATTAAAGCAGTATCTTTAAAAAGAATGTGTGAAAACAAAACATTTTTCTTATAGTTTTTCCCCTGCTTCCAGCCACAGAGTTGCTTCCTTGTATCCACTTTTTTTTCTCCTTAGTGTGATACAGATCTAGAACAGGGTTGGCAGCCTACGGCTCTCAATCTAATTTCATGGATCCTCAGCTTCATTTCAAAAGCCCTCTGATTTCAAGAGTCCATTTCAGCTATCTCTTTCCTTCCCTGAAGCCTGCTACTTGGGCAAGAGAAGGGTGTCAGAAAGAAAACAAATGAGTGAGACACCCATTTAAAATCATAGAGTTGGAAGCACCACTCAGGTCATCAAATCAATTCCTGCTCAGTGCTTAAATCAAATTAAGGCATCCCTCACTGATGGTTGTCTAACCTTTCCTTGAATGTTATCTAATGAAGTGAAGCCCACCATGCATCTGGGTAGCAGTTCTAATATTTAATTGGAATGTGTCTTGTTGTAATTTAAATCCATCATTCTGCACCCTGTTTTCTGGAATGATGGAAAACAAGTCTCAATTTTTTTCCATGTGATACTTTTTCTGGTATCTGAAGAATGTTGTCATATCCCCTCTCAGTCTTCTCTTCCAGCCCAACTTTTTCAATCTTTCTTCATAGGTATTCATTTTCTTCTAGTACTAATCAACCTTGTTGACGTTCTCTGAATCCCTGTTAAAGTGTAGAGCCCAAAACTGCTGGACTCAATACCCAAGATGTGGGAACTTCTGGATCCCTTTTCCTATAACCCTGCCAACCTGTTGATGATATGGCCATTAGTCAAAATAATAAACATAATAATCAAGCTGGCCACCTTTGAAGATGGCACTTGAAAAAGGGAAAAAGAAAGTGAAATATGTGTCAGAATGAGACCTCTTTCTTAGGATATGGCTACGTTCTTGACATTGAGTTTTGAAGATTTCTTAGAATTGTTTACAATTTGTTTATGGGAAGAATTACTACATGTTTTTAAACTTAACAAATATGAAGAAAGACTGTGGTATGAATCCTCTGAAAATGAGCATAGAACATGGTGGGTAGCATTGGAGAAAGGATAAATTTAAAAAAGGAATAGCAAACAATAATTCTGTTTCTAAGCTTTTTCTAGTATGCAGGCCATTAATTGGAAGCATCAGTAGCAGAATTCTGATTGGCTTTCATTGATCTGTGATTCTAGAGAATAGAAGAAATTCCAGCTCCATGTTCAATAAGTGTCCTTGTTATCTAAGTCTCTTCATACTTTTACATCTCAATGTTTCATTTACTTGTTTATTTATTTGATTTTTGCTGCACTTGGAATAGAAAATAGTCAGGTGTAATATTAGTGGCACTCACACTGCCAAGTCCATTACACAAAATGCCAGACATTTTTGACAATG